TGTAATCTAATAGATAATTTCTATATTGGTTAGAATTAAGATTATTTTTATTTTTCCAGTTCATGAGGACTGTTTTCTTGGCTATGCATAGGGCAGTGAAAACCATATGGGCTATATTCTTTTCTGTAGTGACATTATCTAAGCTGCCCAACAAACACACTAAGGGGGAAGTTGGAATGTTAGACACTTTGATAATTCACATATCTCGCGCCAAAACTTCTGAACTGGTGGACAGAACCAAAGAGCGTGGATATAATTGTCCGGTGAATTGGTTTGGCAGTGTGAGCAGTTGTTGGTAGACGTAAAGCCCATCTTGAACATCCGATGACCTGTATAGTGCACTCTATGTAATATTTTGTATTGAATTAATTGAAGACTGGGATTTCTAATTAGATGAAAGGTTTTTAAGCAAATCTGAGACCAGAAGTTTAGGTCTAAGTTAACTGATAAATCCGCTTCCCATTTTGCAATAGGAAGTGATATTGATTCATCTGTTTTAGAAAGCATTCTGTATATTTTGGATAGTAATTTGGGGGGTTTAAGAGTAAGAAATTGAACCACACTTGGTGGAAGTAAAAAACTTAATGTGTGAAAACTATAAATAATTCTGCACTCCCTGTAAGGCATAGGTGTCAAACTCTGGCCCGCGGGCCAAATTTGGCCTGCAGCCTAATTACATTTGGCCCGCGAAGCCATACCAAATTACTATTAGAGCTGGCCTACTGGTATTATACAGCTAATATATATATTGTTTAGTATTAAGCTTTGCTTGTTCCATATTCAGTTTTTCAGCAAAACGTGTTTGAGTCCATAAGAAAAGATTCATTCTTATATCTGGAGGAAGATTTTTTTCAATAAATATTAATGTTAGCCCGCGACTTTGTTCCAGTTTTGAATTTTGGCCCACTGTGTATTTGAGTTTGACACCCCTGCTGTAAGGGTTCATCTGATTGTTGATCTTTTCTCTGTATTATTGTAGGGTACCTTACAAAATAAAGTGCCTTGAAGAGACTTAAATGGAAGTGTACAGAGTGCTTTCGGTTCAGCACCCACGTCACTCAGCTCTCTAGCTGACTGCACTAAAAAAGGAAAAACGCTCATTGGAGAAACTATCATCACCTGCTGGTTAATGTTTTAATTACACAGGTGGGTTGCACCTGAGACATTTGTTGGTTTTGAAGTCTCTTCATGTTCAGTGCATTGTCAAGAATTGCCGAGACTTTGATAGAGGGACAGACATCAGTCTTTTGGGCAACGGGTGACATGGACTGCTGTGGTACAGGAGAGTAGTGGATAGGCCAGGCACTACCTGTGGGTGACCCCACAGGAACTAGATAGATCCAGTGTAGTGACTGTGGGTGCTGTTGTTGACCAGGACACCAAGTGGTGGTGATAGTACCAATTATCTCCATGAACACTTGATGTTTTGCTTGTTGCTGGCCTTGCATAGACTGGAATCTCCTTTTCTCTGCCTCTGCTGCGCTTTCAAAATCTATCAAATGTTTCATTTTCCTGTTTTAGACATTTCTCCTCAGCTTCATATAGTTCCTCCAGCTTCCTTCTCTGTTATGTATGACTGTGACAGATTCAAAGTTGTATTAGCTTTGGCCTCGTGTTTGCTCACATGAGCCTCAGGAATTGCCAGCCTTTCACAGCTCCGTCCACTCTCACCATCGTAGTCTGGATTGTTTTGACTTTACCGGGGATGTGTGCTGAAATGCAACAACAGGGCCACTTTTTTTTTCCATAACTCAGTGTCCTGATGGAAGTTTCTCATCTGAATATTCAAACAGTTATATGCTACGTACTGTATACATGGCATGCATCCACTGTCAGAGGCCATAAGAAGATCATTTGTAACCTTCACTAAAGCTGTTTCTGTGCTGTGCTGAGCTCTGAAACCTGACTGAAACTCTTCAAATAAGCCATTCCTCTGCAGATGATCTGTTAGCTGTTTGACAACTACTCTTTCAAGGATTTTTGATATGAAAGGAAGGTTGGAGATTGGCCTATAATTAGCTAAGACTGCTGGGTCTAGAGATGGCTTTTTGAGTAAAGGTTTAACTACAGCCAGCTTGAAGGCCTGTGGTACATAGCCGATCATTAGAGATAGGTTGATCATATTTAAGATCGAAGAATTAATTAATGGCAGGACTTCTTTGAGCAGTTTTGTAGGAATGGGGTCTAAAAGACACGTTGATGGTTTGGAGGAGGGCTTTCTTATAAAGCAGCAAACTATTTCTCCAGGCTAAAAGAGTTAACTTAACATCAATGGTACTAAGAGTGCTGTAGATTATATTACATCTGTGGGATGATTACATGGTAATTTTTCTCTAATTATAAAATTTATTTGTAGAGTCTGAAGTATTAATAATTCGTTAAAGGAGTGGCTCACAAGTCTTGCTGTTTTAGCCAGCTCCAGGCTAAACGAACCTGGTTCATTTCTTTCATATCGTGAAGAATAAGGAAGATGTGGCTGCGGAAGGCTTTATAATCAACAAACATTTCCAGCTAATGATGATAATTTTGACGCACCCAAGCGACATTGCTTAGGGTGTTATTGAGATAACCGACTGGAGTCGGTACTTCTGATTAGAGACCTTAGGTTTTTCACAGGAGCTACATATCCAGAGTCGTACAAGATTAATCTTTAATTGAGCTCAGAACTAAATCAATAAAAAGCGAGATACAGACAGAAACTCTGTGTTAAGGCTCAGGTGGATCTAGATGATAACAAGTAAGATCGGTTCTGAGTTATCACACTGGGTGGAGAGCATAAGCATAGGCCTCTGACAGTGGACTCATCTCTGTGCTTGTCCTGCTAGACCTTAGTGCAGCGTTCGATACTGTCGACCATAATATCCTATTAGAGCGATTAGAACATGCTGTAGGTATTACAGGTACTGCGCTGCAGTGGTTTGTATCATATCTATCTAATAGACTCCAGTTTGTGCATGTAAATGGAGAGTCCTCTTCACACACTGAGGTTAATTATGGAGTTCCACAGGGTTCAGTGCTAGGACCAATTCTGTTTACACTATACATGCTTCCCTTAGGCAGCATCATTAGAAGACATAGCATACATTTTCACTGCTATGCAGATGACACCCAGCTCTATCTGTCCATGAAGCCAGATAACACACACCAATTAGTTAAACTGCAGGAATGTCTTAAAGACATAAAGACCTGGATGGCCGCTAACTTTCTGCTTCTTAATTCAGATCAAACTGAGGTTATTGTACTCGGCCCTGAAAATCTTAGAAATATGGTATCTAACCAGATTCTTACTCTGGATGGCATTACCTTGGCCTCCAGTAACACTGTGAGGAACCTTGGAGTATTTACAGACAAGGTTCAACGCAATATTAAACAAAGTAAACGGTCTCCATTGCGAACATCTTAAAATAGAATTCTTCGAATGACGCTGCAAAAACTAGTTCATCATTATTATTAGGTGACACTGTAATTCATATACAGAAGTTTAAAACTCCTTAAGTTCAGCTGTCCAAAATGCTGCGCAGGTCCTGGGACTAGAAGGACGAGGGATTCTCCTGTTTTGGCTTGTGTTAATCAAATGATTCAAAATCCTGCCCTCACATACAGCTTAATATAATCAGCGCCATCTTATATTAATGACTTGTAATACAAATATACCTATTAGAGACTTCGCTCTCGCCAGCTTGTTCAGAGTAAGTAATGGGGCAAGTAGTTTCAAGCCCTTCTAGTGGAACAGCTTCCGATTTGATCAGGAACAGAAACGTAATCTAATTTCAGACAACTTATCCTTTTGCTACAAAGCAAGTAGGCGGACTTGACGTATCACCATTATTTAGCGCATGACGTGCTGGGGGATTCCCATGATGCATTGAGTTTTTCCTTTCCAGTCACCTTTCTCACTCACTATGTATTAATAGACCTCTCTGCATTGAATCATATCTGTTATTAACCTCTGTCTCTCTTCCACAGCATGTCTTTATCCTGTCTTCCTTCTCTCACCCCAACCAATCACAGCAGATGGCCCCGCCCCTCCCTGAGCCTGGTTCTGCCGGAGGTTTCTTCCTGTTAAAAGGGAGTTTTTCCTTCCCACTGTCGCCAAAGTGCTTGCTCATAGGGGGTCATATGATTGTTGGGTTTTTCTCTGTATCTATGAAGCGTTACTTTGTTGGTTTCATTAATTAATAGGCTGGTGTGAAAAATTGCTGCCACACCGCCCCCTCGGCCTGTGCTTCGAGGTTTCTGGTAGTTAGAATGACTCGGGGGTGTTGATTCATTTAAACTAACATAATCATCCTGCTGCAACCAGGTTTCTGTAAGGCAGAGTAAATCAATTTGTTGATCAATTATTAAGTCATGTACTAACAGAGACTTGGAGGAGAGAGACCTAATATTTAATAATCCACATTTCACTGTTTTACTCTTTGGTTCAGATGTGGATACTGTATTGTTCTTTCTTTGTAATTGTTTATGTTTAAGTTGTTTGTTGCTGGTTTTTAGTTTGTTTTTTGTTTGGAAGCTGACACAGTCTCTATGGAGATGGGTTTTTGGGGGGGTAGCAGGAGGAGAGAAGCTGCAGAGACTGCAACTCTGCTTCCTGGTCCCAACTCTGGATAGTCATATTTTGGGGGGTTTAATAAATTTGTCCATATTTCTAGAAATGAGAGCTGCTCCATCCAAAGTGGGATGGATGCCGTCTCTCCTAACAAGACCAGGTTTCCTCCAGAAGGTTTGCCAATTATCTATGAATGCTGAAAGTGGTAGATGCTGGTCCAGATAAATTGAATCTCTAATAATTTGCACATTTCTTTCAGTGTGAAAGACATGAGCGATGTGCACTAGTCAGTCAGTCAGTATCGCTTTCAAGAGATACTCACCCACTCTGACTCCAACCCTGGGTTAGATCAGAGTTTGGTGGACCAGGTTCTGGATGCAGCCCAAGTCCACCATATAGCCTTGTGTATACCCCCTTGGTAACTTACCGGTGTGCTGTACGTCCCTCTCAGATGGATAGAGGGTGTTGGAGGGCCTGCAACATGGAACACCTGTCTGACCTCCATCCATAGACATTCCCAGCAGATGTGTCCTTATCACGTGCACCTCCAACACTCCTGCCCCAAGCTCATGTGGGTCCTGGTGCAGTGCCTGGGAAGGCAGAACAGAGAGATGTGATTGCAGCACAGAAGGGAAACCAGCATCGCGGAGCTGAGACTGGCCTCATCCCACTCGTTAGGCGGCCGCGTCTCTCAGTCTCCTCTAGCCATGCTGCTTGTGGATCTCTGCCAGCATGACTACCACCTCCAGGCTCGCTGGTCGAGGGCAGTGGACCCATTGCGCTGTCTTCCCAGGGAACCCCTCCACGAATTGTTCAAGGTCCACCAGCTCAAACTGCCACGCTTCCCCCTCTGATCCCCCGGGCTGCAGCCACCACATCAGAGAACCGCTGGGCCCATGAACTGCTGAGTGAAGGGCCAATACTCTGCCGACATTGCACTTTTCCAGAATTGCCAGCGGTCCAGCATGGCCCGGCAGATGTTGGGAAAGCACCGCGATGCCGGCAGCAAGCTCAGGGCCACCATCTAAGCCTCCCTCAATAGCAGCAGCATCATAGTATAGGCCATGCAC